ATTAATGTATATAAAGACTCTAAGAGTGTTATGAATTATTACAATTCATTGAATACATTATGATAACCTTACATTATAAGCTAAAGTATTATACTTAGATTATATAAGTATTATAATCTTAAAAACAGAGTGATATCTGTAATATAATTAAGCAAAAATATTTATTTTTAGTAGATAATTAATACAAAAGGCAAATTAATGTATATAATAATTAAAAACTCTATTTTTAGGGTTCTAATCTTAATAAATATATAGTACTAGTTTGTAATGTGTGTGTTATAGAAGTATAACAGATGTAAATAAAATACAAAGCAAAAGAAAATATTACAAGATCTTTTTAATTACAATTTTTTTAGCTGTCTTGTAACCAATAGTTGCTCTCTTGAAATTGAATTCCTTAAGATAATATTAGCAAAGAAAGACAAGACAAAGGTAAAAAAAACTCACATTATTAACAAAAGGCAGGTGTATAGATCCTACCAATTTCTTCTTCCCAAAACATCTTATTAGAAGGTGTGGGGTATTGTCATTACCTGACTCATGAATACCACCCCTAATAATAATAATAATAATGTTAGTAGTAGAAAAAAGTAAAAAATATAAGAACTTACACAATTTTAGCTGTTTTAATACAGCTATAACAATCTGGGAGTGCTTCCCTAAGCACTCCCAGAATTTTATCAGTGCCAGCCTTACAGGACACATGTTTTGTGTCCTTTGTTTTGTATGTGTCCAGATTGGCCCAAAAGACAGAGGGGGGGCAGGTGTGGAGAGTGCTGTGTAAGATAAGAAGTAAGTCTGAAGATCTCAGGTCAAATGCAAGTGAGGGAAGGGACTTACCAAAGGTAATTGTGAATGCAAGTTGTCAGGAGTGTGTGTGTGCAACTACAAAGCAAAAGGAACACAAGCATGTTATCAAAGTCAATGTTGAGCAAATTATTGACAGGGGATTGAGAGTCATTACTGCTTGTTGTAGAGCCAAGTCTGAGTGAAAGTGTGTCTAGAGAGTGCTGTGTGAGGCTGTGAATGGTACTCAGTGAGTTTATCAAAGTCAACGTTGAGCAGATTATTAACAGGGGATTGAGAGTTGTTGCTACTCATTACAGAGCCAAGCCTGGGTGAAAGTGTGTCTGGAGAGTGCTGCAAGAGACAACAAAGTAAGTAAGATAACAAAGCAAGAGATACAAGCAGTGTGAACAGCTAGAAGACCTTGATGAAGCTGTTGAGTTATGCTGTACTGCTTGCAAACTTCGACCCAATAGCCATCCTTATTGTTCTGAGTCTCTAAACAACCTTGCAAATTCTGTATATGCTCGAATCAGGCAGCAGTAGTGTATTGAAGATTACCAACAGACATATGACACAGCAAATAGAGTATAGTGACAGTAATGAAAGAATCTGTAAAAACAGCAGTAACACATGTAGCACTCTCTATCCTGCAAACTGTGAGAAACTGTGTGATAGTAGTGAAGTCAAGGATTGCTCCAAAGAACACTACAGTTAGTGCAAACTGAGCCAAGATGGAGGCATAGATGGCACCTATTAAAAGAAGATTCATTTTGCTCACTACAAAAGTTGGTAAGATGGTAACAAGGAATCAGCCTAGTAGAATACTCACAGTGCCATATTCGATTAGCAAAAACAGTTGTGCAGATGATCAACAGATCGTCATTTGCTGTGCATGACTACAAAATTACCTTACATGTAAATGGTGCATCTAATATTCACTACAGGTCTGCATAACTGTCCAATTTGCCTTCCTCATCATTCTGTTCTTTGCTTTCAAGATCCTCATCATTACTATCAGTCTCCTCCTCCTCTTCTAATACTTCACCATCCATCTTGTTGTTGTTTTGTTCTTGTAGCATGTCATGTAGTAGGTAGCTATTTAAATGCCATGTACTTTTGTGTCTGATTCCTCTGCCTCAATAGTGTATGAACATGTCCCTATTAATGAATCTACAGTAAATTGGACCAAAAATGACTCAGCATTAATATGTTCCAAGTTTGAAAGCCTCAACAACATGCTTACACATTTACAAAGTAAAATTTGTAATCTTTGTTCTTATCTTTGGGTCAGTGAGCAAGGGATGGAGGCAAGAGTGTCTGAACAGTACCCTTGGAGAATTGCAGGATTAGATGAGCACCTCAAAGAATAAGGTCCAGGTCAATGAATCTAAAGGCACTAGGATCTGTATGACAATAGAATTGCAATCAAGGGAGTTGTCTCTCAACAAACAAGCCATTCTTATTGACTTTCATCCAGCAAACCCAAGCAAAATTGAGCTAATTGAAGTTTTGGAAGTTAGGGTCAGCCCCTAGACCTATATAGCTGACCTCTGTATGAAAAAGTCTGATTATTCAAGTGTAAATGTAGGGATGTTTGGTGTTATCTGATAGTAACATGATATCAGCATGTGTCTGTAGATTGAGTGAATCTTAGGCTCTCCTGACATTGTAGGTTGTGTAATTGATGTATAGCACCTTGAGACAGAAAAGCTTGTCATTTTTTATGTAGAGGCTGCATAGCTTGTCTGTGGTGAAGGCCTTGTCTTCCTGTCTCAAGAGAATGTATCTAAGCAAGTGTCTGTAAAGACTCAGCAGGAAATTCTAGCAAGTGTGTAATGCATTAGTACTTGTATACATGAAATAGAAAGAGGAGACTGATAATGTACTCACCTGTAAAGCTGGGTTGGAATCATTATCTGAAAGCTACTAATAAAGATGGATAGAATCCTTTTTTGATACTGCCATGTTATAATGGACTTCAAGATCCCTTAGCTTGATAGGATCCCTAGATCCATCATTAAGGCTGATACAAGAATTAATCTTATGTATCTTGTGGGTCCTACCCTCTAGTTGTGAAACTGCCTTTACAGTGTCTTGCTTGTTTGTCCTAGCATACATGTGTTTGAGTCTCCTATACTGAGACTCCCCCTGTAAAGATACACAATTGAGATAAGTATGGAGAGTGTATTGTGAAGTAGACACTTAACAATTTGTGTACTGTATGAATCAGTTGTACTGAATCAACAAATGGTAGAAGCATATACACTAAGAGAATAAAATTTCAGCATATTGATGTTGAGTGTTTTAGTTTTCACACTAGATCTGATTGTTTTTGTGTCCAGTCCCTTTGCCTTACCCTTATTGAGTAGGGCAGCTTGACAATGTCCTTGAGCAGCAATCTCCTTTAGGAGTTTGTGTGTATTGTAGGCTGAGTATACAGTCTTCTTGAAGCATTGTACCTGGTATCCTAGCAATGTTGTTGTCTCCTCAAGGAACCAAACTGTAGTCTCTGTATGAATACAGAGCTTTACAAGTGTATGCCAGGTTGCTAAGATGAATAAAAGGTCAAGGACCACTTTATTATATTTCTTTAGTAGTAAATCCTCAAAGGCCAGTATGGCACACTAGGTAATACACATCCTATTATAGTGTATATATATTAATAGTCTTGAGGGAGGCACTTACCTGTAAAATATCTTCAAAGTCTCTGGCTACAATGTTTTTCATTACAGACATATTTCTGGAAAATTGCCAGATTGTATCCATTCCAAATGTAGGAGTATGGTGATACCTAAAATATAATGAATATATCTAAATAGATGACAGTAAGGTGATTGATGAGGCTGTAACATAGATGCTTACCTCCTATTAAGTATTAGTATGCTCTCTCCTCTCTACACAAAAAGAATGCACAAGAGGTAGGTAAATATTACTTTCCAGACCCCTAGCTCAAATTTGTACATAGGGTCTAGGACAAATAAGTCAAAGAAATTGAATCTGTACTTACAAAGCACAGAAAAAGCATTCTATAAAAATAAGATAAGTGAGTAATGAGGAGCATTGCCTGGATAGTAACAGTTCACTTACATTAACTAGTATGAGGGATCTGTCCTTAAGGAGATTTTTTATCCAGGTGGATTCTACAAGCTTCCCTAATTGAAAAATCCACTGTTGTGCCCTAGAAATCTTCTCTTACTGTACTGTATCATCAATACGTTTGTGAGTTCATCTTTGTTAATTGGCTCTGGTACCAAGCATATGGTTGAATTTGGTTAGTGTAATATCTGTAGGGCTTGAGAATTTGTCTAAAACATGTAAGCTAGTAATGAGTATCCTGTAGCAATGTTCAGTTATCCTTGTGTAAATTGAGGTGAAGATTGTAGTGTATGCAAACAAGAAGATAGCAAATAGATACAAGACATACTTCTCAGGGTAGTCTGCTGAGTAAAAAGCAAACCTTAGGAAGAGCCTGTATAATTTTCCATCCAAGCAGTCAAATAGAATACTAGAGCTGTATGCCTTGAGAATTTCAGACTGTAAGAGGATATGGGACAAGACAGCTTGAAATAGTTCATACTTTAAGTGAGTGAGGAGTTCTGAAGATGCAGATTGTCTATAAACCTCATTATATGTATCTTGAACTGATGCTGAGAGCTTTATCAATGTAAATACTGTATGTCAGGTTATGTATCATAAAGAATAGTAGAAATATAGAAGGAATGTACTCACCAAAGGAATATATGCTAGATGATAGCAAGCTGTCTACAAAGATTTACAACACATGTACTTAGATTGGCCTCTAAAGTACATGTATATTGGCCAAAGTGATGCAGAACCGAAATTTGCAAGATGTGTTGAGTCTGAATAGAGAATAAGAGGAAGTATGAAGTTTTCAGCACTGTCTTACATTGGAAAGCTTTGTACTTCTTTGTGGGCTTCTAACCAATAATCTGAGCAATATAGTTTACTATAAATGTGTTTAGGAGGAGAGTTGTACTTAAGGAAGAGGAGAGATAATTAAGGGTCAGTAGAAAGTTTGCTATACAGCTCTAATACCACACATACTGTTAGTCTCCAAAGCTCCCTGTAAGGTATATAATGAAAAGGAGGAGAACAAGGGTTGTCTAAGGCTTTGAAGATTGTTGTTAGTAAGGGCCAGTAGTGTATTCCCCTGACTTTGAATTCAGGAGCTCTTTCTTTGCCCCCAGGCCACTTCTTGTTGTCTTTAGGAGGTAGCTTGATCTTAACTGATCCTTTACACTAGTCATCAGAATGGGAAGACTCAGGGGAATCATTATTGTGGTGTAGACTGTCAATGTGTGAATTCTCCTACCTTGCTCTGTAGTCTACTAAGTCTAATAGCTTGAAGTCTGGATGAAGTAAGACTTTGTACACAAGGACATCCAGCTTGTTATTTGTCTTTTCTTTCACTTTACAATTTGCCCAGCTTGTTAAAAGGTAAGTTGCTACATTATTAAACAGTACATATTTATTAGTGATAAGTTTGGGGAGTAAGGATGTTTGAGTCAGAGCATCACCTGCAGAAAGTCCAGATAAGTCACATAAGTCCTCAAGGTTGAGTGTCTTGTCAGGGAAGTCATCTGGCAAATCTGGGTACTCTTGAAGCAACTTGTATTTGTTTGGCTTAGACAAAAAGAGCCTCCTTCTTGTTCCTTACACAATTTCTAGAGTTGCTTAAGTTAGAGAGGAGACTTAAGACAGTAGAGAAGGAAGCTGAGATGGTATGAACTCAAGAAGGTGTGGAAGAGATACAGTAGGAAGTACAGACAAGTTCAAAGTAGATGGTAGGAGATCTGTAAATTGCTTTGGTAGTTGTTTCTTACATTTAGTTCCTTCAGGAAACTCAAGAGGCTTGTCAAATAGGGCTGGAACAGTCTGAGTATTATCCTCCACTTTGAATGCCTGGGTCTCAGCTACACAAAATGGTGAGCATTGTCTAAGAATCAAGATACTATTACACATACCTAACCTTATTCTCTTTTTCACTTTGTTATTTGACTCTCTAATGTGTTTTAGAGAGTTCAGACCACTACTTGTATTAACACAATAATTGTAATAGATTGCTCATGCATTCTTCTTCTTAAAGACCTCACTACAAGCCTTACAAACAAAGGAAGGCATCTTAAAGAGTTAGAGAAGTACAGTCTAGTCTGACATATGCCTTTGAATGTCTGCTTTGCTAGTATCTGACATGCAGAGGTTCACAATGAGATAGATCAATATTAGTGATCTTCACTGATCAGGACTGAGATTTAGATGTAGTAATATGTGCTACTACTGTTAGTACTCTCTCATAGTAGTGTAATTTACAGATATGCTTGCTGTAACAGTATATGTGCCTATGTAGCAAACTACAGAAGAATATTGAAGCTCATATCAGCCCTTCTCAATTTACTTCCCTTACTGCCTTGTACACAGGTTGTGGCACAAGTCTGAGACTGTGCTAGCCTGAGAGTACTCTAGAAAGCAGTAAGAATTAAGAAAGAAGACTTGCACAAGCTGTACAAATCATAGTAATCACTATTTGTAACACTACTAAACATTGTTTATTACTTTGTATGGTTCATCTCTGTCTTTTTAATAATTTGCATTTGCTTTAAGTGAGTGATCATCATTTTCCACTCTCAGTACAAGTCTGAGAAGTGGGTCAGACCTCTTCCCAAGACTTGCACAGACATATACTCCATATAGTAAGTATTAAGGTACACTACAGTCCTACAACAATGGTACTGTCCTTCATGCCAAAGCACAAGTATCTTAGTGTAAGTAAATTGAGAAGTACTACTAGACTAGAAGGAAAATGGCAAGCATTTTCTTGATTGCTGAGTAGCATCAGATCCACCCATATGTCAACTTTAATAGTAAGTAGGTTCTGTATTCAAGCTGTACAAAGTCCATTATTATAGCTACAGCCTACTGTATGTCATGAAAGATGCCTTCAATTCTGTACATAAAGCTAACTTGAAGTTCCCCAGCAGCTTGGCTAATATTTGACCCCTGGCTCAGATGCAGACTAATATTAATGATTTCAAGCTAGTCAATTTATGTGTTTATTGAACATTACTAAATATACAGCTGAAACACTGAATTTACACACATTCAAGCTAAGTATTTTATGTGTGTAAGGCTATGTACAGTGTATACAGAGCACTGGCAGCCAAGTGACTACATACTTCTTATTTTAGGTATATCAAATCCTCTCATTTTGGATACACCTGCTTTTCCTAACATATTTTTGCTAGATAAGTCCTTCCCCC